TAACAACACTTTAAACGTATGTACAGCGTTAACGACTGAATTAAAGATATTGGTGTTCCGATTTATTTTCTTAGTTAGACCATTTTCTTTCATTCTAGATAGTTTTCACGACAAAATTCGACAAAAAATTGTTTTTATTTATCAGATTTTTCAAACAAAATGGCGCCCTCAATGTGAAAATACACAGGGAGATAATAAGAACGGCGAGTGCTTTGTTTAAAAATTCTATCACTCCACGTGATTTTGTCACTATAGACAAAGAAGGAAAAAAACCGGTGTTAAACTGCCAATAAACACTGGTTAGGGACTACTTGTATATGCGGCTTTTATGTTTTCACCCTCGAGTATATAGTTTACAAGCAACAATAAAAAGCATTTTTATTTATATTTTCAGTTCTTATAATGTTTTCTTTTCATACAATACCGAAATAATATCTCACATACACTAACGCCACATATTTGATCCATATCAGTTAATAAATATTTTGACAAAACGGCGCCAATCCGTAAGTAGCGTAATGACGTCATCGTAAGTAAACAACTCATTCATAAACGAGCTGACGTTATTTCATACATACAAGAATGATAAATGGGGCACTGATGTAAACACAATACGTCGTAAGTTTTTTTTGTTGTTGAAAACTTGATAAAATGATGTTTTTTCTTATTATTTATTTTGTCTAACAGTAGGGTGCGAAAATTGAACAGCGTTATACGAAAATCGGCACCAGAAGTTATTTCCGCTTGAAAAAAATAACATTAGTGATCTTCCTTATTTTATCGTGTTAGAATCGAAATAACATCGGCCTGAGAGGTGTATATCGGCTATTTAACACCGGTTTTGTCGTTTTAATGCGAGAAAATTAACCACTCAGGCCTACGGCCTTCGTGGTCAATTCCTACGCATCAAAACTCCAAACCGGTGTTAAATAGCCGATATACACCTCTCAGGCCGATGTTATTTCTTAAATATATCCCAAACTGTGATTTTATCGCTCAATAACATCACTGTTTGCAAACTCCTCGCAGCGGTTACTTCCCCTGATCTGTACAGTAGCAAAGCGTGACGTAACCGCTGTGAGGAGTTTGCACTGTTTGGAGTTCGGATGCGAGAAATTATATCACGAGGGCGTAGCCCGAGTGATATAATGATGCGCATCCGAACGACAAACAGTGATGTTATCCAGCGATAAAATCACCGATTTGGATATATTATTTCGATTCTAACACGACATTAACAAAAAAATGCTGCCGTACCTGCTATTAAGCAAAATTGCGCCTGATTTGTTTCCGTACTTATTGTCAGCGCGTCGGATTTTATAGTGGTTACGTCACATGTATAATGATTACGTCACATGTCTAAATATAGAACGTCAAACAGTGACTCTATTTAGGAAATAGATATCAATTCAGAGTGCATTGTTGTAGAATAATGCACGGTTTGAGTTCAAATGCGTAGTAATATAATCACGAAGGCCGAAAGGCCTGAGTGATTAATTACAAAGCATTTGAACGAAAAACGTGCATTATTATACAATAATGCACGAAGAATTAATATCTATTTCCATTCTAACACGTCAAGAAAAAATATAATTATTATTATAAAGTTGGACTTTATGTTTGGTGGTTAAATTTGTTTTCGCCTCAGAGTTTCCGAGAAACGTTCTTTAAAGGCCGTTCCAGTGGGTTGAAAAAAATTGTCGTTAAATCTACCGTGTGTAGAAACATTTTGAGAATAACGAATTTTGAAAACGTTGATAAAACTTTGTTTATTTTATTTCAGTCTATAATTTTCCAAGCGAAATACAAATTATTAAAAGTGAAATATATGTAAAACTTGCATGACTCGTTTGCGACATTAAAATAGCGTACTTGATTTGATTGTTTTGCACGTGCTGTTTGGCGCTACATTGTGACGTCACGTAAACAACACTTTAAACGTCTGTACAGCGTTAACGACTGAATTAAAGATATTGGTGTTCGGATTCATTTTCTTAGTTAGACCATTTTCTTTTTCATTCTAGATAGTTCTCACAACAAAATTCGACAAAAAATTGTTTTATTTTTTCAGATTTTTCAAACAAAATGGCGCCGTCAATGTGAAAATATAAAGGGAGATAATAAGAACGAGTGCATTGTTGTAAAATAATGCACGCTTCGGGCCTTCTTTGTTTATATAGAAAAAATTCCGATAGTGTTAGAATGCATAATAACTATGGAGGGTTATTTATGCCAAAATTGCATCTTGCTTTCTTACGTTACATCGTGCTTTCTAACTTGTACATCGTGCTTTCTAACTTGTATATTATGCATTCTGACATATACATCTTGCATTCTGACTTTTACAAGTTGATTTCTTACATGCACATTATGCTTTCTGCTGTGTGCGACTTGCTTAATTTTATGTTGATGTCGTTATTTAACGATCAATTATTATTCATTTGTTGGTCTGGCCGGTATATTAATTCAATAAATTAACCTGCAACTGTTTGTATTTGGGTCTATTTACTCAGCTTGAATGACGAATGTCATAAGGTAGAATGCGCATAGCCGAAAGCCGAATGCAGCAAGCATAATACAACGCGACATCTGGTGTAATAATATGTAACACCCAAATTATGCTAACAGGTGGCGCTACAGTTATATTCTCGGTAAAGTCCGTATTGCGGTTCGGATTCAGTTTACCAAGTTACGTCCCTTTGTTTTAAAATTTCCATTTGCACTCATGGAGAAAATATACAAAACGATTTAACCAATTTTTATATTTATTAATGAAACTCTGTAGGTCAAATTATATTTCCAGCTGACAATGACAAGTTGCACATTTCCAAATCAATGGTTTTAGATTTTTTTTTTCATCAACAAAATAGTTATAAAATAGAACAGGTGTTCAACATTGTTCAAAGTGCTTTGGCCATAAAAAACTTCTTATTAAAATATTTCATCCTCTTGAAAAGTTCTTAAATTTTGACATGGCTTATTTCCAATACCTGTGACCATCCACAACATTTTCTGTAAAAGTCAGAATGCAAGATGTATATGTCAGAATGCATAATGTACAAGTTAGAAAGCACGATGTACAAGTTAGAAAGCACGATGTAACGTAAGAAAGCAAGATGTAATTTTGGCATAAATAACCCTCCATAATAACACACACTTTCGGTTCCTTCTATGTTCAATAGGGAAAAATGCGGGTCGTGTTAGAATGTAGAATAATGCACGCTTCGAGCCTTCTTTGTTTATATAGAAAAATTTCCGATACAGTAGTGTTAGAATAATGTTTCAAGACCGATAGGTGTAAGATGTGAACTAAAATAAAAAATAATTTTGGAAACATAAATATTATGAAAATAATTTAAAATTTTTTTAATACCCCTCTCGAAAGAGAAATCATTCAAGTAATTATAAATTTCGGCTCTACGTTTTACAAAAATCAATTTTTTTCTCAATCATATCGACATATTTGAGACCAGAGTTCAAATTTAAATGTCGCTGTTTATTACAGATAAAACATTTTTCAACGATTTCATTGGCGTATACGCCATTTTCACACAACATGTGATAAGACCATCATCAGTGGTTACTGGCCGTAGCGTAGCCAGTAAGGGGAGGTTCGTCCTAAAAATCATTCGAACATTATGCAATTCGTACCAATATTTAAATGGATATATTCTCGGCACATATTGTCGTCAATGCATTTTAAGTAGTATACCAATCATTTCAATTTTACTTGTTATCCAATTTATTTTCCTTCGACCAGACGTTTCAATCTTTGAGTTTCAATTTTTGAATTTCAGACATGGCATTACTTTGTGAATTTATGCATTAGGTTCTACTTTTTCACAAAAATATGCTATTTTATTATTAAATAACGAGCAAAAAGAACATGGAGAAAGAATTGATTTGTGCTTCGGATATTCAACTGTAATAGAGAACATTTTCAATGCTGATTGACTGTTCACATCATTTGGCGGCGTCTTTGATGTGCAGCATCAACATTTAACTTGTATTAGATCTACTACGCATTTGAACTATTCTACAACAATGCACTCAGAATTGATATCTATTTCCTAAACAACCCAGCAATCACGTAAACGATAACACGCGAGATTTCGACGGCGAATAATTAATGTTCTTGTAACAAATCACTGGTAGTTTTGACTGTCGGCAGGGGCAAAATATTTCGGAAAATAACAAGAATTTACGCATGCACATGGTTTCAGGGATATTTAGGGATTTTTATTTTCTCTATTTCACGAATTAAAGTATGCATGCTATATTTTTAGATTCAACTTTCAATACACAGAAGAATATACATGAACGAAATTTGAAAATAAAATAATTAAAATCCAAAACAAAGCTTTGCACTTTGAATTCATTCAAATGCCCTGGCTGAAACTTTCCACTTACACAGGCACGATAAAATATCACGTTTTCTCAAAAATATATTACTGATAATTATTAACATAGCTTGTTATACTTTGCCCTGGAATCTTTGACTTAAAGCGCACAGATATATACATACTATAATATAAACAACAATTTATCGAAAAACAAATAGAGGATATTCAAGTTTTTTCTATAAATACATGATTTATTTTCATCGAGTGGTATGAAAATAAATATTTCATGAGTGGCGGTAGCCACGAGTGAAATATGGTATTTTCATGCCACAAGATGAAAATAAATCGTGTATTTATAGAAAAAACTTGAATTTTCTGTTTATTATATACATTTTTCTCTTTTTTGACATTAAAATTTGAAAAACTTTCCCTTAAATTTTGTGTACTGGCAGAATTTAAAAGAAAGTAGTCCGGCAAGACACCAGTGAAAATACGGAAAATATGTTTCACTGCAGTGAAAAACAAATTTTTACAGTGAAAATACGGAAAATGAAAATATGCATTTTATTTCATAAATATTTCTCAATATTTCATTTATAAGTATATAATAAATATATATATTTTCATATTAATATTTGAATGTTAAACTTGACTTACAGTGGTATTAAGGATGTGCACAATCCTATCTTTAGGGTCATCTACATCAACTTCTAAACCGTTTGGTTCTAAAATGTTCACAATATCTACATAATAGGTATATCTATTTTAAAGATCAGATAATTAACATAATAGGTATATCTATTTTAAAGATCAGATAATTATTCGCTTATCAGAGAATAACATTAATTTATCTAACAACATGTTAATATGTGTCTTAAACAGCATTTCATAGTCAAACTTTTTTTTTGAAAATTTTCATAAAATTTTGACCACTCGTATGTTATTTTTTTCTAAATATATATTTTCATGGCGTTTAATCATTGTGTTGTAGTAAATCTACATAAGATTTAAGTATATGAAAATTTAACTTTTTCTTAGATCTCTTAAAAAAATACTGGAATGCGCTTAAAATACATATTAAATAAATTTGTCAATTGCACCGTGAACAAATGAAACTGTTTTGTAAATTATTCAATCATGAAAAAATCAACATATATTTTAGGCACTTACTGAGAAATCCAGATTCTCCATAGTCTGTATTGGTGAGCTTATTGTTCTCGTCAGTTTCATATTTTTCTGAATTGTCCGTTTTATTTTCGACCGTTTCTAATGGTGAATAATTAGTTCTGTCAATTTCTGTACTGGAAAGAAAACTCTCTGTTGTTTCTTGCGCTAAAGTGGCAACGCTATTTTGGCGATCTTCTCTTTCTTTTGTATTAGACTCGTTTAGCGTTGTTTTTGAATCCGGAGAATTGCTGTCTCTTAGTCTTTTGTTTCTTTTATTGACTCGATTTCTCTCACCTTCTTGGTCTGCATTCTTTCCAGATACTATCTTATTCTTTGAAGTTTTCCCATCTTTATTTTTTTCAGATGTTACAGATCTTACATATTTACTTGAATTCTTTAGTCCCCTCTTCCCTTTGATATCGAAGTCATGAATTTTTGCATTTAAGTTGCCATTAAAAACTCTGCTTTTTACTCTTAAATGAATATTGAAAATTATGAACAGGAATAACAATATCCTTAAAGTTGTCATGGCTGAACACGTTAGATGTCATTTATTTCTTTTCTTTTGTCGAAACGTGTGCCAAAACATAAAATTCATGTAAATGACGTCATGTTTGAATGGCGTTAAAATTCGCGCAGTATTTTTTTGTTCGAAATTTAGTATAAATTAATAATACTAGAGTTAAAATCGTTGTTAGAATGATGTTTTATATAATTATAATACAACCTACAAACTATGAGCTTTTGTAACCGACGGACATGTAAAAATCAACAAGCGTCAATATTTAGATATTAATTCAATATACGTATTTTATCTTTAAAATATGTCAATTAATGTGACATAATGACAGGTGTCAATTTATGTAACACATTACATTAAACTGCTTTATGCATATATTTTTCATACGGAATAGACCTATGTCCGCAAAATTGGCTCAGTAAAGTTGACAGTGTTCTCAGAATATTTATTTTGAAATATGATATTTTGATGGACAATGACAACATTATACGTATATATACACACTGTTGTACAGCGTCCACCGGATATAGCCCCTAAAAACACCGAAAACGAAAGTGGAAAGCTGCACACCGAGTACACCCAAGGTGTTTTAACTTATTTCTTCATCACAACTTCATCGATTTTTCCAAACTATATAAACACTTTTGTGAAGCTAAATGTTTCTGGTTTCAGAGCAATATTTGCTTTTGTCTGCAAATTGAATATTTTTTGTTAACTTGGCGAAAAATTGTAGCGTATTTGTTGACATGTGCGAACGATGTTGATATTTACCACTAAATCAAGCCCAAAACGCATCTTTTTTGTATCAAAATTCGCCATTTAACACAAATTATAGTCATCCCTCTACTTATATTTGAGTTTACACCCTTCAACTCGAGCTGCTTTTAACAAAATTTGCAAAAAACTGCATTGCCTTGTGTACAGAGTCTAGCACAGAAAACAAATTTAAGTGAACGGGATGTAGTAGTTTAATGGATGTTAACGGTGTCTAGCAGTCACATGGTTTTTTTTAAGTATAGTCTTTTTTATTATGTTTAATTGGAAACAATCTCATTTCAGACTAAACATGGATAGATAAGAGGACATACAGAGGTATTTGGTAAATAATTTAACTTTTTAGTGTTTTTGAGACTAATGTACAGTATAGCTGTGTTTAATTTTTATTGTCACCATCTCTCTTGAAACCATCAGCTGAATAGTGTTTGTCGGTATAAGACATGTTGAGGAGTCTTCTGACCAACTCGCTAAATGGAAATGGTCCGAATGGGGATATATTTATTTATATACATGCATAACTTGATAAGCCTCGATTTTTCTAATTACTTCATATAACATAGATATTGGGGGACAAATAAACACACATATAGACTCCATGATTCTGAAAAAGCATCTAATCACTGACAAGATTCATTCCAGAATCTTGAATTAAAAACCAGAAGTTTGGCATTGTAAGGTGAAGCGAACCAATCAACTTCTAAATTTATATGAAATTGATATCTTATCATATTCAGCAAATAAAAAGAAATGCCCCAATCATTGTAATCAACGATTCGTGACCAATAATCAGCCCGTTCGTTTAACGTTCGAGGTAACCATTCCATTTCCAGAGAAATAGAATTCCTTAGACATAAAGTAAAAATTGTAAACGCAATGCTTTGTAATTCCACATTCATTGAACCCTTTCTAACAATTGAAGTAACCCCTTTGTTATCAGAATACCATTTAACCCTTTGATGAGCTAAAACATGTGAAATAGACTGTAGTACAAATGTACTCTGTACACAGCTACTAATTCCCTCCATATAGAATATTTTAATTGATCTTCATCATTCCAAACTCCGTGTGACATTCCATTTAATGTATTGACTTCATAACCTGCATAACCAGAGTTACTCGCATCTGAAAACACAACCTTTGAACATCTTGTGGACTGAAAAATATCCTTAAAATTTAATAAATTTAAGTTTGACTCCCAGAACCGTAACTGATTTATACTGTCTGCTGATAACGATTTATTTCATGCTTTCCAGTGTTTTATTGTAATATATCAGATGATTATATTCTGATAAACCACTAGTGAAATTTATAAAATATAATTTTCACTGTAGCCGGACTATATCTAAATGCGGATGAAAAGAAAATCATAACTAAATGGAATAACAGGCAGAAATAAATGCTGTCATGCGTAAATTTTGCTTCTTTATGAAAAGAAAGTCGATGTCACCATACATCATGTTAAAAATGTAACAAAATTAGAGAAATTTAACAGAACTATATTTCAAAATTGATGATGTGACGTCATGATGTGATGACGTCACAAAGGAGAATGCGCGACGTTACGCGGCAAAATCAGTAAATAATACTTAAAATCACTTAAAAAGCATGAAATAAAAAGAAAATTTATTTGTTTTACATATAAGATTGAAATATATTTCATTCGTGAACACCAGCTATTATATTTTCACTCGTGGCTACGCCACTCGTGAAAATATTGCATCTGGTGTTCACTCAGTGAAATTATATTTCAATCTTACATGCAAAACAAACAAATATCCTCTATATAATATGTAAGAATCCCAATATGACGCCTTATGAATATCTATATATGGAAAGCCATGGCTGTCTGATATTGGTCTTTTTCAATTTATTTAACCATTTGGATAATATATAAGTTCACTTCGACTATATATCTATACTAAGTGCACGTGTCATAATTTGTGACACGTGGCCTGTAACAATTGACATCAAAATTTACTGACCGACTAGACTAGCCACTCTCCTAGCGACAAAATCTCAGAAACTGTTCGAAATGCTTTATCTAATCTCCTAGTTGGAACGTAAATGATTCCATTATAAAAATCAATGACAATCCCTAAAAATTCTAAAACATGAACAGGTTCCCAAATAGATTTAGTTGTGTTGGGAATAAAACCGGATAAAAGTAAATCAGCTTTTATCTGACTACCTATATTTTAGTACTATCCGCTGTTTTTGCACAGCCATATCCATCGTCAAGAAACATCAATACGGACTTACCTTCGGCGCGCCATTTTGAAATTAAAGGCCTTGTTATTTTCGTAAATATATAACATGCACTAGAGAGTCCAAACGGTAAAACTAAGAAATTTTAAAATGACTGAGAACCATCTTTTGCAGTCCATAAAAACCCAAGATATTTTGTATGTGGCCTTTATATCTAAATCAAATGATAAGCTGACGTTAGATCGAACTTTATCATACTATATCCCTTAACTAAAAAGGATAATGCTGTTTTAATATCTTCAAATTTAACCGATTGTTTCCAAATATGAGAATTAACATTTCTTAAATCTAAAATAAGTCGTTTTTTGTTCGAATTTTATACAGATACCGTTAATGGATGGACAATATAAGGTTGATTGCTACATTTTTAATAAGGTATCTGTCTAGCAAATCTGAAATAGCCTCCATTACAAAATCTGATTCTTACAAAGAAGATTTATTATTTTTACAATAAGTTTTCGGAGGCATTGAAAACAATGGAATTTTGTATCCATTTTTGATAACATCTAAAATAAACTCAGAAAAACCAATTTCCTGCCAAAAACATAAATTTTCTCTTAATCTCCCTTTAACTATAATATGTTTTTGTCCCTGTTCATATTCATAATAGTCATGAGTAAATCTATCGTAGTCAAATAAATACTCATCTTTTAACAAACTGCCACCATGTTCACTCTGATTTCCCCCATACTGAACGCCAACTGAACCACTTGACTTCTGCACACTGGGACAATACCTTCTGATCTGACCGCTGTCTCCGCAGGCAAAACAGGGGCTTCCGTAGCCAAATGAGTTGCTGAAACCGTTCAAACCGCTGCTGGTAGTGCCTAAACTTCCGTTGAAACCACGAAAAAGGCCTTGCCCGCCAGAAGGTCAAAAGTTTAAGCCTGAAAATGACGTACTGCTCCCATTAAACCGGCTGCTACCAGGACGATTAGCGCTAGACCGCGACTTACTAGAATCCCTTTTTTTCATAAGGGCACGACTCTCAGCTTTGATGATTTAACTTTCATCATCAGAATCGCTGGCAATCGGATTGCTTTCATATTGCTTGACCGTTTCCCAGCCACAGCTAGAAGAATCCGCTAATCTTATAAGTTTGTTTTGTCGTTTAAGTTTTTTCTGAAGATCTTCACAGAGTTCTTTCGAATAATCAATTTATTGTTGTATATATTTATTGTTATTCAACGCCCAAATAACTTGCGTAACAATGTCATTCAAATCTTCTTTAAATTCAAATTGTACCTTATTCCTGTGTACTTCCAAACAATGTCTTTCGCCTTTTTGAGTTTCTTTACTTCACAGGAAACGAATTCAGAACTGCCCTGGACTTCCTCTCTCAAATTTTGCACTTCATTTCTCTGCTGCCTAATTTGTCCATTAAATCTTTCAAGGTTAAATTTCTATCATTCTGTTCATGAGGTCCATCCATTTCAAAAATAAGTAATATACATGTACGTGTATTGAATTATAATTTTCTGTCCGCTCAGTTACGCCTCGCGAAGCTGAATGATCAAATTCAATATAACTCTTCTATACTGCGCTAAATCATCTATCCGCGATTACACACAAGGGAAAATAGTTTTCATATAATTCGTAAACTCAAACTCAGAAAACTATATTTTCCTTCAGTAAGAAACAGGATTACTAGTTTCTCTCGTCGACCACTTTGATAGCATCGAACAATAAGAGCTAAATTCTGTCCCTTTCTCATGCGTGTAGACGTAAGTCGTTGCTGTTATACTTTGTTTAAAATGATGAATGCACACGTTACATCTATCGAAACAACAAAAAAGTTTAAAGTTTTAAATGATTACAAACATTTTGCACACGTTAATTTAACACTTAATACGGCCCTTGTCCAGTAATGATCTACTAACCAACATGCATCTCAGATTTGAGACATATATATATTTCAGTAGTAGCAAAGGATGTATACTCAAATACGCCTTTGTCCTGTGTGTCTGCCAGCCCGCATAGCTCAATCGGTTAGATCGCGAGACTTGTAATCTGGACATTGTGGGTTCGATTCCCGGGCTGGCCAACTAAAATTACTAATCAGTCTTTCAGATGAGACTTAAAATCGAGGTCCCGTGTATGGGTGCTTAAACACTTGGCACGCTGAAGAACCAGGAGAAGCTTCTGGAATTGGGGCATCTTTCTGTATCTGTAATTGCACTATCCTCCAAAATCTAAAATGACTAATACTCTTCTGGAGGACTCGCCCATATTGGCAACCGGTGACGAGTATAAATAAACGCAAATACACACACAGGATGTATACTCGCTTCTCTCTTGCCCTCGGTACGTGTACGTCGTTGAGAAGACACAGGACATCGGCAGAAGATTTGAAGACTGGGGACGGCGCAAAAGATCGGGATTTGTACTGCGGACCAGCTGCCGATGTCCTGACTAAAGCCAAGGGGAGTGGCCCTACAAAGTAGGCTTAGACTCGACGAGGATGAAGTGCTAGGGTGCATGAGCCCCTAGCACGGATAGTCGGCTTGAACCCCAGACCTTTTGCTGGCACCAACAACCCTTGTAAAGGCTACCGCCGTACAGTGACCTACTTATGGCTCAAAATTCAAATATTTTGCTAATAATTCGTGAAAATTGCATGGAGGTAAATTATTTTACTTTGTGCTTCAAAATTAACTCTTTAAGGGCATGACTGGTGACATATCCGGGGTCCATAGTCGGCAGCGAAAGCTGCATTTTGTGCCCTTACGGGCGGACGGACCCTCATTAAGAATAGACTAGAAGAAGAAGAATCTCTCTCTCTCCCTCTCTCTCCCTCTCTCTCTCTCTCTCTCTCTCTCTCTCTCTCTCTATCTTATGCATGACATATCACAGATGTCAAAAACTGTTATTGTTTGGTTACGGTATGAAATAATGCGAGAAAGTAAATTTTAGAGTAATTTAATGTTGTATATATTTTCTTCAGAAATACATGTATGTTTTTCCTCTCATCACACTAAATATTAATACATTCTTTTATATTGTATGTGCAGGTTAAGATACATATTGTCCCGGTTTTACTGTATATCTGTTTTCTTCCATAGCTGATTTTCCAGTTCTTTTTTTAGCACTTCACTTATTGACTGCGTTGCTTTTATAATAAAATGTTTATATACATAGTTTACACAAAAAGAGAACATGTATACTTGTTTTCAGTACGGCCTTCTGTTTTAACAATACTAATGAGAAAAGAAGAAAAATAGCAATCATAAAGAAACAAAGGAAAGTACTTGCAGATCTATACAAAATTTGAAATCTTTTTGTACAAACAAAATTCGAATGTAAAGGTTATATACATTTGTATTTTCATTCTTTCATCCGACTGACACTCATATTAATCATAGTAATTATAGATAAACTCGTAATGATAAAAAAATGATGATATCAAAATTTACAACAGCTTTAAATGGTAAATTTTCATCATAGATCTAATTGTAAAAATATAAAATGATTTTACAGCTGATTTTGAAAGACTGTAAAGTCATCCATTGTTTGATAGTAATAGTTGACTTGTTTCAGACAACAATACTGAAGAAATAATAAGTATGAGGTATACTTTTCAGAACAAGATCCTTATGAGCGATTAATCATGCACAAAATGTAATTCATTGTGAGGGAAACTAAAAATTTAACTCATATACAACGGTGCCAGATTGTTTAAAGACTGACTTATACACCATAACTGCTGTGTGGTATTTAACCGAAAAATTGAATTTCAGCCATTTAAGTTTATTAAAAAAGATCTAATTTAACTCTATAGAATGCAAATCTGTTTTAAAAGAACGTTACTGTTTTCAAATATTTATCAACGTTGTGTATACAATATTCACGAAGAACTAAAATTAAGTTAGTCAAAAATATCTTAAACTAAAAATACAATAAAATGAATTTTTTCAGGGTATCTACAATCAAGAAGTGAACATTCTACGCTATTACACTTTGAAATGAGTAATAGTTCAAGTTGAAAAGCGATAAATAATATGTTTTACACGTTAGGATTATCCACATCCCTTTATATCAATATTGATGGCAAACATTATGATTCGAGCTATTACTTTGTTTCTATTAAAGGCACAGTATGCCTCGAAAATCCAATTTTTTTAATTCTTTGAGACATGCATTAAATAATGTTTTAATAACGGATTAAGGACATATTAAATGTTTAACAACTGATGAACATGTGTCGTAATAGTAGCAGAATGTAAACAAAGTAGTATTTTGACTTCAATACACAACACTAATTCACTATAGCTTAACCAACAGCCAAAAACAACAAAAAACAACCAAGTATAGTTTCTGTTTATAGGAAATGAGTATTCTATGAAAATTGTAACAAGATACAAAAAAGTTACTTAGGCATAATGGGCCTTTAAGTGAAGTTTAAACAATTAAAAACCCACGGGCGCTCTCTACCGGTCGCTTTCTTTGTGGTTGTTAATTGTTAAGATTTATCACTGCTGTGTTGGTGCAGTACCTCTAGACGCTTGCAGAAATCATGATTACCAAGTACAAAAATAGCGGGTTTTTTCCGATTCTTACATTATTCATTCATGATTGTATATAAATCGGTGTTAAGGCAGGCTCTTATGCAGCACACCACACTAATTGAAATGGCCAGGATTTCATGGATATAGTGACTATCGTGGATTTTAATGACTGGTTGTCTTTAAAGTGCAATTTCAGCATGAAATTGTTTTTGTGACATGTAATATGATCATTGGCAAATTCGAAAACATGGTTAGAAATCACATGCTGTTAATTATAGATGTCAAGGCCGCCATTGTTTTTAAACAGCATGCTCGGTGAAAACAAGTAATTTTACAGGGGGGTACAGACTTTCAGCAATAAGGCCAAGCACCTATTTCTTTGTGATATTTTGCAACGTATAGGGAGTTGCTAAAGCAGTGACAGAGTTTCTGTAGCCCGTATATTTGCAGATATTTTTTACCGGATAGATTTTTGACTTTTACGAAATGAATTTTTTTTAACTGCCTGACTGTTGCACATGGGATGATTTCATTATAAATTTTGCAATGTTATGACATATATGTTCTTAACAAAATGTGTTTTCTTTTTCCAGGTTGTGTAGTTTGGGATCAGATTTATCAGACATATTGCTTGTAGGACATTGACGGCAGAAACTTGAATTTTAGTGTGGAGTGCTACCTAAAGACTTAGTGCAGTTCAGTTTAATCATTTGAGCGTTGTCCGGTATATATACCGGAATACGGTATTCGGTGTGATGCTCCAACACTATTTTCAGTCTCTTTCTGTGTTCAAAAGAGAAAATGCAGGTCGTGTTAGAATTAAAATTGATATATTACGATACAATAATAAGTCTGGAATCTTTTTTTTTTGTAAATAACACCCCGCAGGAAATCTTTTAACTTATCAAGATTTGGCAAATAAAGTACACCGAAAAAAAATATACCACTGGTTTCAGATACTTTCAATAAACTATAAAACATAAACATGATGAATAATTTTGAGTGATTCGAACAGATGTAAATGATTTCTAATCACTGTGCAATGTGAACTATCAATATAATGGATTTTCTCATAAACAATTAATCGCCGACTTTTATCCTGAAATACATAAAATAGTAAAATGATCTGGTCGCTTATTCAATTGATTATGGATTGACAATATATCATTATCGATTTCAGCTTATTAATTAACAGGAAAATGTGCAAAGTCTGCCTTTCTTTTACTGTCGCTGCGGACACACGTGGATAGAGGCATTCGATACATACATATTGTTATGTTGAGACCTACAATTTGGCTCAACGAATTTCACAGAGGTCATATCCCCACACAATGGCTTCTGAACTTTCTTGTCTTTTGAATATCGCTTTTTACCAGTTTTACACAATTCATTTGCATTTGTGGCTTCTTGTGTTCCAGAATTTAACCTCACGAACGGTTCCCGTATCAAAGAAGCTGGGTCTCTATTGTTAAGCTGCGGAACACCGGCGTTGTAGGATAGTTTGGGAACATTTGTTCCGTGTGTGTAAATCTGTTTGCGCGTGGCGATGACGAAATAAGAAAGCAGGATAATAAATAAAACAAGAGCACCGGCCGAACAACCAATCAAAATGTAAAATATTGCTCCTCGTTCAGTTGAAACGCCTTTATTTGTCTCCTCCGCTTCCAATGCTGCAATGAAAAATATATATACAAGTTTTAGTGCATTTTTTATATTCAGAGAACATGGAACCTTAATGAATTTTCATAAGTGTAACGACACTCACTTTTCTCCATAAATTATAAAATCACATGTTAGCAACCATATCGAAATCGGATCAATACAGAACTACAACCACATGTTAGATATTATTTTCCTCCAAAAAATAATTAATTTTTTATAGAAAAATTGCCAATTCATCCTTTACGTCTACTTTTTGTATATATTGGCGTATGAATTTAACCTTTGTCTTCATAAAAGCTACATTATATCATCCAAAGCATGCACTTCTTTCCTAAAATGTGCCAAAATATGAAGTCATTTTGGAGCACGCAAATCATCTGGCATCACCATCAGATGCAATGTCCAGCATATGTTCAACTATACAACTTAAACGCCAGTCTTATCTATGCAAAAAGACTGTGTTTCTTTTGAGAGATAGAGGCGCTGCTGCACACTATAGAAACCATCTTGAACTTGGAATCAGTCCACATTTATTTGCCGTTCGTTGACCAAATAAGGAAGTAAATCCGCATAAAAGAGCACCTGTATTTAATGCCAGATATAAATGAAAAATTGAATGATAGAGATGGAAAAAGGACATTTTCTGACAGAATTCATTTCATATAGCTGGTAAATGCCAACTTTGGTTCAGTTTTTATGTGACTAAGTATTTTTGAGTGTTTTTGTTTCTACATAACAGAATTAACATGGTTCCGGCAGATTACTGAAAACTGCCATACTATGTATCTTTGTATATCGAACTGAATTGCTGTGCAAAAATGCCGCATGACCACTAGTTTGCTATAGCTGGAATTATTTATCTTGGATGATACTATAAGCATAGACGACTTTGATTTACTTGGAGCGTTATTAGAATTGCTACAGGGATAAGTGTTTATAAGGAACATATAGTGAAATTAAGTGTGGTCTGAAGCCAAATGGAGCTCTTTGAATTGGGAAAATGAAAATTTAACGCTGTCGTATACAGCCTTGCTAGGTAATTGTTATTGACAATAGTATCATAAGCAAATTAAATAATGTGTTCCGTTTGGGCCAGTGCGTTTCTCTGAGAACGGAAAGCTCGAAATATGACAGTACGATGGTGACAGTACGATGGTGACAGTGTCTCCATCGTACTGTCTTACTGTCACCATCACACTGCCGTACTGTCACCATCACACTACCGTACTGTCACTATCACACTACCGCTACTGTCACTATCACACTGTCTTACTGTCACCATCACACTACCGTACTGTGTCACCATCACACTACCGCACTGTCACCCATCACACTGCCGAACTGTCACCATCACACTGCCGTTTACTGTCACCATCACACTGCCGTCCTGTCACCATCACACTACCGTACTGTCACCATCACACTGCCGTACTGTCACCATCACACTACCGTACTGTCACCATCACACTGCCGTACTGTCACCATCACACTACCGTACTGTCACCATCACACTACCGTACTGTCACCATCACACTACCGTACTGTCACTATCACACTGCTGTACTGTCACCATCACACTGCCGTACTGTCACCATCACACTGCCGTACTGTCACCATCACACTACCGTACTGTCACCATCACACTGCCGTACTGTCACCATCACACTACCGTACTGTCACCATCACACTACCGTACTGTCACCATCACACTACCGTACTGTCACTATCACACTGCTGTACTGTCACCATCACACTACCGTACTGTCACCATCACACTGCCGTACTGTCACCATCACACTACCGTACTGTCACCATCACACTGCTGTACTGTCACCATCACACTGCCGTACTGTCACCATCACACTACCGTACTGTCACTATCACACTACCGTACTGTCACTATCACACTGCTGTACTGTCACTATCACACTGCTGTATTGTCACCATCACCAACATGTTGACCATGCACAAACATTCACTCAACATGGCTTCCGTACTTAGAACTTATACCGGCGTTTTATAAAAAAAATCTTTACTCTGTCATAGATCAACTATTAAGGAAATCGAAAGTTAACAGAATCAAAATGTATCTACTACATAACTAAGAGCTTTATGATAAAAATGTACACCTGTGTCTTCATAATTTGTAATTTGTAACAGATAGGCCTAATATTGACTTATTTGTAAAATATAGTATTATTTTTATCAACTTCAATTTCAAACTACGCTCATCAATACAAGAATTTACGTGTATGTTAGGCCATTGTTAAAATGAGACTTGATGACACGGTCAACGTGATGTTTTTATTTAATTATGCACATGTCTAACAGGAAAGCGAAAAGATGGTGACAGTACGACAGTACGATGGTGACAATATGACTGTACGATGGTGACAGTACGAAAATACGATGGTGACAATACGACAGTACGATGTGACCGTACAACAGAACGACATTACGATGATGGCAGTACGACAGTACGATAGTGACATTACGACAGTACGACCGACTGTCACTATCGTGCTGTCGTGCTCCGCCATCGTCATGTAGTATTGTCACCATCGTACTGTCGCACTGTCACCATTGTACTGTCATGTTTCGCGCTTTTCGTTCCAGAGAAAAACGCGCTGACCCTAACGGAACACCGAAGTTCCACGTACGTGGTCAGCTGGTCTTCAGGATGATCTCAGACAGGGTTCTTCTTATTAAACACAACATCTGATAGGTTTCTTGAGACTGTTATCAAATACTTAATAATTTGACTCATTAATCCTCTCCTCCTCCCCAACAATTGGTGTTTGTTTAATATGATTTCAGTATGTTTTTAAAGAACAAATATCATTATTTTTCATGACTGACAACAAACTGACTTAACAAAGAAAGAAACAAACAAAAAGATAAGATGTTCTTACTTGTTAAATGTATCTCAGAATTAAAAACAACAACAAAAAACGACAACAAAAAACAACAAAAAATATGTCATATCAATTCGTAAAAAACAGACAGTCAGACGGATAGACAGATAGGCGTACAGGGAGACAAACAGACAGTAAATGATAGACTTGAATACTGACAAAGACAGTTATTTGTTGCAGGACTTGAACAAAATTTCTAAGCCTTATATCGTGTCATTTTGTTTATAATTATACAGTATATCTATTATCATGAGATTTATTATCACCTTAATCCGCGTATTAACATATGCAGACGCACGCTTGGGCCATTAATTATTTATTATCCTCCTCCAATACTGAAGAATAAAACATTTTAACAAAGTAAGTTATAATTATGTATATATAAGAGATGAGAAGTAAATAAAAATACATATCATCGATTAAATTATAGTATACAATACATAATTCAAGATATTTACGGTGACACGGAGGTGACATGTGTGTGTTTTTATTTATCTCGTGCGCACGAGATACTATGTCGTGGCCACGAGTCACTAAGTCGTGGGAACGAGATACTTAAGTCGTGACTACGCTTTACTTAGTCGTGGCCACGAAATAATTTATTCGTGGGCACGAGATACTATGTCGTGGCCACGAGTTACTAAGTCGTGCGCACGAGATAATTAAGTGGTGCGCTTAATCATCGCCCGCGTCTCCGCTTTCTTAAAAGCTTAGATCAAGTTGGAATTTCTTGAAATATATTGATTATTCTGTAGACATGCAGATTAAATCGCCAAAATAGTGCAATTTGACGTATACAGCTCCCTTTGTCTGGAGCTATGTTGAAAATGTAACAAGTTGTCGACTCTCGAGAGAGCTATATTTATTGAGAGCTATATGCGGCGTTACAAGGCAGGGAGTCCCAGTCCATCAAGTTTTGGAGCACTATTCAGAAAAATGCACTATATAAAGACCATTGAGGAGTTTTATACGGCAACAACTATACGAATAGTACATCCCTTGGTGCTGTCTATTCGAAAGGTTGACTATAGTAAATGTCAAGGCGCTGACTGCTGCTGATTGACAAAACCTAGAGAAAATGTACTATACCTAATGTTACAGTATACTTGCTCGACATCTCGTGTATTTTTGCTTTTAGATATTCTGAAATAAAAAAATATACCACTTTTGAAAACATTGTGAATGAAGAATATTATGAAAATCACCACCGACAACACGTGTCTGTGATGTGCTGATCATGTTAAACTGTTTCTACCAATATTAAATCGTTAAAATGGAAGAATGTTGTTTTGAAAATTTGAAAATGCATGAAGCATTGTAGTGAAATCATGCAAACTATTATATTGTCAACAAATCTACAAATATATATAAATTATGTCTATATTTCAAAAGAAAAAAGGCTACAAAATACATGTTAATTTCTTGTATACTTTTAGATTTTTAACGACTTTTTACATATTTACCTTTTTGTTCGCCGTGAATAGCTGTTATATTGAAACCTTTGAGTTCCCATATGTTATCTGAGACAAAGCGTATTGTTATTCGGGATGTATTTGATATGTACGGCAGAGGTGCAACTTCTCCGCAATATCTTACAGGATGATATACTGCATCGCTTGAGCTGTAAGTATAGTATATCTATGGAACGCCTGGACTGTCTTATGTTAAGAATGAATGGGTGGAAATCCTAATGTGCTCAGTTATTGAAGTGCTATGTTGTGTGCTGACTGTATTTTATTCAGTCAAGTCAATGTATTGTCGGGTGCATAAGTCGTTATGTTCAGTTCTTTAAACCAACAGGCATGTGGTAACACAATTATGTTGAGTTAAAAAGATATGTTGTAGGGTGTTACAGTTATTATGTTCGGTTATAATAATATGCCAATTGGTGCTCTTCTCATTATGTTCAACCATGAAAATAAACAGTTGAGTGGTACTATCATTTTCTTTGGCTGAGGCAGTGTATTATTGGGTGATACTTTTTTTATTTTCAGTTGCAATGACATGCTGTTGGGTGCTTTATTTCTTCTGTTCAGTCGTGAAATAGAACTGTTAAATGGTACAATCATTATCTAAAATGGTACTATCATTATCTTGTGTGCTGATTATATCTTCTTCAGTCAAGTCAATGTGTTGTTCGTGCAAATGTCGTTATGTTTCAGTGTTTTTTGGTACTATCATTATGTTCAGTTCAGATGATAAACTGTTCGGTGCAGAGGTCATTATGTTCAATAGTGAACACAAAACTGTTATGTGATACCACAATTATGTTGGGTTCATTCGGATATTTTCGGGCAACAAGATGGGAGCGACTAATTTCCATAGGCCATGTCGAGGCTAATGACCACTAAAATTGCCAAAACAATTTTCTTCCCTGTAAATATTATCGGGGCTTAAGATCGTTATTTTCATAAATTGGACTTTGAAATACCCAATGGGTATTTTATTTAGTTAATTCATGACTATACTATACTGTTACAGTCAAAAATGGTACAGTATATATAACGTAAAAGATGGGTAAGGGGTAGCCTGTTTAAAGTAACACATGACCACCGTAAATATAACTTAAAATTTATCTTTTTGGTAACCTATAAGAGTCACAAATGGAACACACAGCAACGAAATTTAAAATATAAAACATCATATACAAGTAAGGGAACCCTATTTGAGTCACACATGGCCACAGTATATGGAGCATATAAGTAAGGGTAGGCCTATTAAAGTCACATATGGCCACAGGCATATACAACTTTAAATATATGTGTTGGTAACCCATTTGAGTCACACATAACCACAATAAATGGAACATAATATTTAAGTAAGGGAAACCTATTGAGTCACACATGGCCACAGTATATATGGAACATTTTAAATATATTAAGTAATGTAGCGCAAATAAGTCACACATACCCACATTAATGAAAGAACATTCTATATAAGTAACGGTAACCTAATTGAGTCACACTAGGCCAAAATATATGGAACATTATGTTTAAGTAAGGGAAATCTATTTTGAGTCACACATGATTAAAGTATATGCAACATTATATATAAGTAAGGGTAGCCTAATAAAATTAGACTCAAATACATTTTCCCTGACTTCATAACCTCAGATCCCCTTACAAAATTCCATTTTATTTTGTTCCGCCCATTGTTTTTCTCGTTTAGGGCAAAAAGCATTCTTTTACATGGGGACCTTACGCCGCTTTTCGTGGAATGGCACAACTGTGTCACATTGAAGTTCCATGATAACCGCCGTTATGAACACATCATCTTCGGATGTTTTCTAAATTCAAAATTTCACTATTTTCGTGTTAAAATGTTGAATTCTGCTTAAGCCGGTGCTAGGGGGCGTGCACGGTAACTTGCACTTTCCAGTACAGTCCATGAACAGGGCTCAATCAAACCGAGTCTGCAACATTTTCAATTTTTTGCAGTGTTGTGCTTTCTTTAGAGATTCTGTTTTTCCTATTTTAAACATTATGTCTACTAATAAATTGTGGCCATGTGTGACTCAGGTTTCACTTACTTATATAGAATTTTCTTTATATTTGGCCATGTTTGACTTTACTAGCTACCCTTACTTATATATAATGTTCCATTTACTGTGGTCATGTTGTGTCTCAAAATGGGGTTCCATACTTACATTTAACGTTTCCATATACTGTGGCCATGTGTGACTCAAATAGGTTTACCTTACTTGTTATATTATGTTTCATATTTTAAATTTCGTTTGATGTGTCCACTTGTAAGTCTAAAAAAGTTACCAACACATATATTTCAAGTTTTATTTACGGCGGTCATATCAGACTTGAACAGGACTACCCTTACCCATATTTTAAGTTTTTATATACTGTGTCCATTTATGATTGTAACAGTATAGTATAGTCATAAATTAACTTGATAAAATACCCATCCGGTATTAAATATTCCATTAAAAAAACTGTCCAATTTATGGAAATAACGTTTTTAACCTCCCGATGGTATTTACGGGGAAGAAAAATTGTTTTTTGGCAATTTAGTGGTCATTAGCCTCGACGTGACCTATGGAAATTAGTTGCTCCCCGCCCGCCATCTTGTTTGACGCGAAGATATCCGAATGAACCCAACATAATTGTATGGACCACTCAGGCGCATTGTCAAATGACTTGTGCACCGAACAGTATATCATCTGAAACTAAAAAATAATGACTTCTGCACCGAACAGTACATCATCTGAACTGAACATTTAATGACGGTATCACACAACAGTTTGTGTTCGCAACTGAACATAATGACCTCTGCACCGAACAGTATATCATCTGAACTGAAACATAATGACTTCTGCACCGAACAATTTATCATCTGAACTGAACATAATGACGGTATCACACACAACAGTTTGTGTTCACTACTGAACATTATGACCTCTGCACGGAACAGTACATCATCTGAACTGAACATAAATAACGTATCACACAACAGTTTGTGTTCACTACTGAACATAATGACCTCTGCACCGAAACAGTATATCATCTGAACTGAACATAATAACGGTATCACACAATAGTTTGTGTTCACTACTGAACATAATGACCTCTGCCACCGAACAGTACATCATCTGAACTGAACATAATCACCGTATCACACAACAGTTTGTGTTCACTACTGAACATTATGGACCTCTGCACCGAACAGTACATCATCTGAACTGAACATAATAACGGTATCACACAACAGTTTTGTGTTCACTACTGAACATAATGACCTCTGCACCGAACAGTATATCATCTGAACTGAACATAATGACTTCTGGCCACCGAACAATTTATCATCTGAACTGAAACATAATGACGGTAATCACACAACAGTTTGTGTTCACTACTGAAACCATTATGACCTCCCACCGAACAGTACATCATCTGAACTGAACATAATAACGGTATCACACAACAGTTTGTGTTCATTACTGAACAAAATGACCTCTGCACCGAACAGTATTATCATCTGAACTGAACATAATAACGGTATCACACAACAGTTTGTGTTCACTACTGAACATAATGACCTCTGCACCGAACAGTACATCATCTGAACTGAACATAATCACGGTATCACACAACAGTTTGTGTTCATTACTAAACATTATGACCTCTGCACCGAACAGTACATCATTCTGAACTGAACATAATAACGGTATCACACAACAGTTTGTGTTCACTGCCTGAACATAATGACCTCTGCACCGAACAGTATATCATCTGAACTGAACCTAATGATAGTACTATTCAACAGTTCAATTTCACGACTGAACAGTCTAAATAAAGCACCCAACAGCATGTCATTGTAACTGAAAATAATAAAAAGTATCACCCAATAATACACTGCCTCAGCCAAACGAAAATGATAGTACCACTCAACTGTTTATTTTCATGGTTGAACATGATAAGAAGAGCTATTTTAACCGAACATAACAACTGTCACACCCTACAAACATATCTTTTTAACTCAACATAATTGTGTTACCACATGCTTGTTTGTTTTAAGAACTGAACAGAACGGGACTAATGCACCCGGCAATTACATTGACTTGACTGAATATAATGTAATCACCACACAACATTACACTTCAATAACTGAGCGCATTTGGATTTCCACCCAGTATATTGGGATTTTGACCAAGCATATTGTATCTCGGACTCAACAGAATGACATTTAACCATGTATATCAGTCATTCTACACATAAGACAGTCCAGGCGTTCCATATATATCAGTATATGAGTGTGTTTTTATAATGTTAAATAAATATAAGAAGAGGGCCACAGTGTACATTAATTGCTAACCTGAAAATCTGGTCTGTACTATTTTATTACCGGGATATTCATTGGAGCAGACATGTATTGGTATTAGGGGAATGAGCCGCGCGACCAATTAAATTTTGTAAATATACGTACTAATGAGTTTTAACCAGCTTAGTGTTTTAAATTATTTTTTATAAACAGTCGATTTACTAGACTGATTAAAAGTTTGCCCATTTACCAAAGTAAATAAGTTACGATTCATTTGAAATACTGCAATCCTATTGGACAAAAATAATTTCAAACAATATATTGCTGTAAAATTTAGTTAAATTCCTACACCAGGTGGAGTAGATGTGACTCGCCATTATTTAAACAGCCACGAACTGTTTACATTTTTGTTTCAAAGAATGTTAATTCTAAGAATTTATCTAAATATATCATACGTACATAGGGTCATATTCCTGTATCTGCAGATAATCGTGTTGACAGTTGATGGACTTCTCTATTGACATGTAGTGGAACACGAGTGCCCAATGACCGGAAGTTGCCACTAGGCTCCATGTTTGATCAGCGTTCTTTTTGTACTTCCGTTTAAGAATATTCATTTGAGGCTGTATGGCGTCACCATTTTTAACATCAACTTTACAATAAGCCCCACCTAAAACACAGGAAGAGATAAGTGGTTAGTTTAATTTAACGCTAATTACCAATATACTTATTCCGGAACTAAGAATATTGTTTTTTTTTGTTTCCCAGCTAATCGGGGGGGGGGGGGGTAAACAAACTTCTACAGTGACAACTTCAAAAATAAACTTGTACCACAAGCTCTTAGTGTCCAACTTTATTTGTCATCCAATTACAACGCTGTATTTCTTAAAAATTATGTGCGTTAATTTTCATACTTTATCGAATTCCGTTCATAGTCGACTTCTATTTTTTCGAAGTACTTCATAGAACGACATAGTGACGTAATAAAGTGAGTGATTTTGAGGCCAAATAAAGTTTGACACTAAATATGTTAGTATTCATCCGTAGCTGTTCTACAGAAATTAGAAACATTTTCCTGTCGCTATCGCTCCCGTCGAAGTTTCTAATTTCTGTAGAACAGCGCGGATGAACACTAACATGTTCAAGTTTTCCTAGTATTTTAAATTTTCGGGCTTTAATGTGCTTTGATAACAGAAATACTTTACTTAATCTAGCAATGTTTGCTATAGCAATAATGCTGAAATTTCATTAAGTCATCTTCCTTATTTGTTTGTGAAATTTGCTGTTCATAACACTGATGCCCATATAAAATAAAACTTGAATGAAAAACTTGATTACAATGGGTTACATTAAAATAGCGGCGCCCAACTAGAAATGTGATACACTGATAGGTTTAGAAATCTTTATATTTTTTAATTGTTTTTTTTTATATTATTATTATTGATTTCCTTTTGAATCTATAGCCGGAGAAGCTAAAGCTTCGTGGTCCCGGCTTCCCTTTATTAAAAAAAATGTATAGTTTATAGAAAAGAACAGAACAGATTTAATTATTCAATATGACTTGAACATATCAGTTCCTCGTCATTACACAAATATAATAAACATAATTAAACATCGAGCAGATAATAAGGACTCGGCAAAAATAAAGCATAGATACGTGTACATGTTAATGATAATAGTTTAATGTTCAAAGTTAAAAACACTTTAACCCGTTAATGACTACAAAGTACAGACAAACTTCCTTGTTATTATTGCGTCTCGCTTTAATAGAAGTATAACATTTGTTATTAGTTATTTATACGGCTCTTCTCGCTAATAACATTGTAATGACATACAAGTAATAACTAGGGTAATAACCAAATCCTAATTAATCAGGATAACGGTCACTGTATTATAACTAGTAACTGTAATATATCAACCGCAAATTGCATCATTAAAACACCGGACATAGCATCTAAAATAGTCATCTTTGTAGCAAAGCCATCATGACTGGAATGTCATCATAACAATTACGGAACCAGAATTTACACAGCCAGTTACGATGATGCGTACGCAGAAAACGGAGGCATCAAGTCGCCGGATAGAATCAAAGGGCTGCAAGCTCTGTGGTATTTTATCTAAATCGTACTGTATATCTGTATGTATTTTCCTGTATAAGTTTATTTTTATATACTATAATTCATCTTACAGGGCACCGAGATGCAGCGACTACGTTTAGATTTTTTACTAGAACAGTTTGAGTTTGATACATACGGAATTTTGGATGACTAGAGTTGCATCAAAAATCATTTATGTTCATTTTTTATGACAAATCCTTGCATATCGTGGCTACATCCTTAAAAAAGACACTTAAAAAATGCCTGGACTGGGATTTGAACCTCTCATACCCTAAACGAGCGCGTTACCCCTGCACCACCGGGAAGTTACACGAAGAAAGCCTGAATAAAATCAAATAATTCTAAATTTAGAATTTCCATTTCGGGGTTTGTAATACTTATTATTTCGAGGTATTTTGTTCACGATAAAACTGTTGTTTAACACTGATGTAAATAATTTAGCGGAAATCTTCTCGCCAAAACAGTCCGACATGTATATAATTATTCCATTACTCGACAGTCAGATTTATTTGTGTACTACGACGTACGCTGGTAATCGACATCGCTAAAAATAGCATTTTCGTTGATTTAAATGATATTCATCCGCGTAATTTGTGGTTGTGCATTTATTGACAATTCTATAAGCCAACGCTACTTTTAAACTTTGAATGCGTTGTAAATTGTTGGATACTTGTAACAAAATAAAAATATTTCTTTCTTTTACATCGCTAGTTTTAAGCTGTTTTGAGAACTACTTGTTGTTAGGTTTGTCGTGAAATTCTGTGCCAGAGATTGAATGTCAGCATTGTATTTTATCTGCGATCAGAAAATACAAAAATGATTATATTATCATAAATATAGAGGAACAATACGTTGAGTAACTGTTTTTACAATAAAACATATTTGAAGCAAACTTGCTTAGCAATATTGTCAAGAAACTGCTCTCATTATTAAATAAGCAAGTATTATTTGGCAATATTGGCCTGAGAATTTCTGATCAATGCTACATCTGCAAATGCAACAATTAATTAATTAAAGAAATAAAATGAAACACGGAATTTAAAAATCTATCATGTTAAACTTTGACCTCTAAGTGTGACCTTGACCTTGGAGGTGCAGGTGTTGTGCATGACATATTGTCTTATTATTGTAACTATTTGTGCAAAGTATTTTTAAAATCCCTTGATCTATGAAAAAGTTATGGACTGGACACAAAATATGCCCTATAACAGACTATGTAATTTTTTTACCTCTAAGTGTGACTTTGACCTTAGAGGTAGGGGTGCAGGTGTTGTACTTGACATGTCGTCTTCTTATTGTGACTATTTGTGCCAAGTTATTTCAAAATCCCTTGAACTAGATCGGACACAAAATATACCCTATAACAGCCTTTGTTAATTTTTAACCTCTAAGTGTGACCTTGACCTTGGAGGTAGGGATGCAGGTATTGCACATGACACATCGACTTATTATAGTGACTATGTGTGCCAAGTTTTTCCAAAATCCTTTGATCTATGAAAAAGTTATGGACCGGACACAAAATAAACCCTATAACAGACTATGTTAATCTTTGACCTCCAAGTGTGACCTTGACCTTGGAGGTAGGTGACCGGTTGTTGCGCATGACACATCGTCTCATTATTGTTAACAATTGTGACAAATATTTACAAAATCCATAAAAAGATAAGAAAGTTATGGACCGGACAGGACATATACCCTCAAATAGACAATATTGACATTGAATGAGCAAGTGCGACCTTGATCCTAGAGGTAGGGGTCTGGTTGTTGCGCATTATAACAAACATTTGTGCCTATTAATTTGAAATTCCTTTGATAAATGACCAAGTTATGGACCGGACACGAAAATTTGACGGACGGACGGCCGGACGTGCCATTAATTGGGGTTTATGTGCTTTTTCTTTGATCTTTATGTGGCATTTTCCCCCATAAACCAGTAAAATTACCACATAAACCAGTCAGTTTATGGGACCCTCTTTTTTAAACTAAAATTATGAACGGAATGAAGCTCATAGGCATTGGATATTCGCCAGGACAGACGGAGCCTATTTCTATATCCCCCTTTTTTCTTCGAAAAAGCGGGGGACAATTAGGCGCTACCGTTGATAAGATACGAATGAATGTGTGTTCAACCTAACATCGAAGTGTTCCTAAAGACGGCGGCGATACATGTAGCTAAGTGATAGATCTCAAAAAGAGTTTCATCTGTTATTACACACCCTAAAATCACAAATATGCATGATAGTTGGAATTTCTGATTATGTCATCTCTATAGCTGTCGAACAAATAATAACCCGAAACATACTTAAAAGAAGAAAAACATATTTCTTATAAACAAAAGTAAGGTCTTAAGAAAATCTTAAGTTTAAATTACGTAGCTCTAAAAGTACAGAAGCAGAAAAAGAGAAAATATCAATATGAACTGTATTCAATTTAATATCTAAATAAAAAAAACATTACGAACTATGTTGTAATCATGTATCGTCTTATTTTAAACAGGCATATAAAATATATAAGAGGAGGGGGGTTGTTAATATACTCCTCCGTACCTTACAGAATACTATGTTGAGATAGATACATAGTTTTTGTTTGTTTTAAAAATGGACAATTGGCGACTTAATCATAAGCAATGACAATGATAACATATATTACTTGTAATTTTAATATATCCCGTGAAATAGAAGCTCAGCTGATATCAAAATTTATGTTTAATATCATTGTTTTGTTTTTGTCTATAACGTGGAATATATTTGTAAAATAATTTCTAAAGAAAACCGTAGTACAGTAGATATATCAAAATAGTAAGATAAATATAAATATTCTTCATCACATTCTATTTCATCGCATTCAAGTACATATAAATATGAAAACTAAGCGCTACCGATAATTATGTGTTTGATAATATAAATTGAACTGTATATGAAGAGATGCACTTGAACAATATCCTAGATTGTGATCATAAGTAGACACCTACTTTTTCTGTTCATTATCATCAACTTCATCTTGTATCAAGTGAGTGACTCATGTATAAATGATATTTAAAATGTAGGAGCGTCTGTTAAAAAAGTTATAGGTCAAACTCTAAATGAAATACATGAACTAAGTAGTTCAATCTGAGTAAAATCAGCTCTTAATAACACTCCGATTTTTACGGAATGCCGTTAGGGCCATCGCCTATGAATGTGTTGATCTAAAGCGCGATAGTCGATAGTACGATGGTGAAAACGCGAAATCACGAAACTACGATGGTGAAAACGCGAAAGCACGATGATGAAAACGCGATAGTACGATGATGAAATCGCGACAGTACGATACTACGATGATGAAAACGCGATAAACTATCGTGTTTTCACCATCGTACTGTCGCGTTTTCACCATCGTAGTTTCGTGATTTCGCGTTTTCATCATCGTACTGTCGAGTATCGCGTTTCAGATCAAACCATGCATAGGCGATGGCCCTAACGGCATTCCGGAATGCCGTTAGGGCCATCGCCTATGAATGTGTAATCTGAAACGCGATAGTCGATAGTACGATGGTGAAAACACGAAATCACGAAACTACGATGGTGAAAACGCGATAGTGCGATGATGAAATCACGACAGTACGATGGTGAAAACGCGATAGTACGATGATGAAAACACGACAGTACGATGATGAAAACGCGATAGTACGATGGTGAAAACGCGATAGTACGATGGTGAAAACGCGATAGTACGATGATGAAAACACGACAGTACGATGATGAAAACGCGAAATCACGAAACTACGATGGTGAAAAACGCGACAGTAACGATGGTGAAAACACGATAGTTTATCGCGCTTTCATCATGCGTAGTATCGTACTGTCGCGTTTTCATCATCGTACTTTCGCGTTTTCATCATCGTGCTTTCGCATTTTCACCATCGTAGTTTCGTGATTTCGCGTTTTCACCATCGTACTATCGACTATCGCGTTTCAGATCAACACATTCATAGGCAATGGCCCTAACGGCATTCCGTAGATTTTAGATGTGAACGTGACCAAGTACGAAATATTTCACGGTGGGCCAGACCACAGCCAAATATGAACTTGTGGTTTCCGTAACTATTATTTACCCCTAAAAAACAAATTTCTTTTTTAAAAAATTGACATCCTATATGTTAAAAAGCGATTCAAACTACTCATTTACAAACACTCATTAATTGTTAATACTTTCACGCGGTATTTTAATACTTATTCTAAAACGTAATTTTAAATAACACGTTTTGAATTAGCAGGTTTTAAAATACTTCTAAATTTATAAAAAGGCGAAAAGATAATAACGGTCGTCATCAGATCTACATAAAAGTAATAAGCAGATCTGAACACAATTGTTCATGTATATGGTCACACTTTTTTTGTGATTTTTTTTAACTCTTAGCCTATTCATATAATAAAACAATTATTAACTAGTGAGCCATTGAATATGATGTGATATTCACCGGCAGAAAGTAATATTGACCTCGGCAATCGTCTCGGTCAATGTGTCATCTGCCGGTGAATATCACATCATATTCAATGACACACTAGTCAATAATTGTATAATATTAGGGGTCCAGCACTCAAGTGCATTACGTACATGTGTATGCATTTGCTAACATCAGAGAAACGATCGCAAACATCAGAGGAACGCTCGCATTTTGGGGTCATAAATATTTATTCAATAAAAATGATTTTTAGTGATATTTTAAAGTAAGTGGGCAGGGGACCTAAAATGATCAATTTTGTAGTTCAATGTGGTTCCAAATATTTCAAAATATGTTACACATGTAGATAATCAGTTGCACAGCATTATTCAAGGATATATGACGTACATAGAAGAAAATAGTAGAATGCATGCATCTTCCTAAAAGAAATGACTGACAGCAATTTATATTTACCCCCACCCAACAAAAATCACATTTAATCTAATATATATAATTGTAGCGTTTGCGTTTGATTAAAATCCAGATCGTTATATCATAGGATCTGGTGACTACCAATTCTTCTTTCTAATTTATTTACAGTCCTTATTGTTTCTAAAAAACAATACATAAACGGTTTAAACTAATTTTCAAAAGTAATTAAAGAAAACAAGTTTTTCCTTTTCTATTTTAATAGTTTTGTCTAGCCACATTTGCTGTTTGGTCCAAGGATGACTCATTTCAATAAATAAATGACAAAGTTAGGAAAATATAAACAAGTTTAATCATTTGACGGTCAAGGTCATTTAAAGATCATGGTCATATCTAAATCATTGAACATGTCCGTACAACCAAAATTGGATAATTTGACCTGACGATGAAGTTAATGCATTGATTAATTACCAAGTTAAAGTTAGCAGTGAAAATTCAATAATTTGACATTCAAACTCAAAATGTCATTTATGAGTCAATGTCATTTTGAGTTTGATATACAAAAAGAGAATTTCATTCATTGACCTTGACGGTCAAGGTCAATTAAAAGTCAGTCATATCAAAATATTTGGTAGCATGAGTTTGATATACCCGAAAATGTTTTGTATCTTAATAGGAAGTTAATACATTCAGTAATTACAAAGTTATAGCCAGCTAAAGCAAAAATATGAAAATGTCAATAATTTTACCTTCAAGGTCAAATGTCATTTATGAGTCAAGGTAAGGTCTATCATAAAATAGTGTTGTGTTCTATACAGACTTCAAAATGTATATGCTGAACTTAGAAGATAAACTACAAGAATTTAAAACATGTTTATAAGAGTGGTATCACCGTAAATTTAATTAACATTGATGGGAAAAGCCAGTTATTATTTGACATTTGCTTTACCAAAACTAATTTATCCGAAAAAATACCTGACCATACTGTAAAAGATATAGCAACAACTGGGAACCATGCACGTGTTGCGGGAGAACACTTCCGATTCAGGAATTACCTTCTACATGTAGAATTTTTCTTAAAATAATGGCACATTGGACTTATTGCCACTCGTGGAGGATAAAACCATTTAAAAGTATGTAAAATTCAGTTGTTTGCATGTGTGTTCGACCCGTTTGATCTCTTTGTTGATGTATTTCAAGCTTAAATACCAGGCTACAATGTACATGTCATGACGGTCTCATCTTTCGGACCTGTGTGATTTCTTACTTTCGGGCTTTACTGCGGTAATTTACGTGTAAATAAGGATAGAAAAATATATATTGCATTGATTACATGTGAAAATCCGACGATATTACCACCCGGTGGAAAATTTTGACACTGAGAACGGACATACCCATAATTTTCGTACTCGGATGTTGCATACCTTGTCTATAACAATATAACAGTAAAAAATGTTTTTCTTTTTATTTGTTTTTAATACATGGATATTTTATTGCATAAATAACAAAGTGAACACACATTTTAGGTCAAAAAAATGCCTCCCAAAGAGCCTTAAAGAAAACATTTAAAGATTTTATAGACGTATGTATAATTTATCTGCCAAATAAGTAAATATTTCTGATTCTTTATAAAAATCCCCGAAAACGTCCTTAATGCAGATCAAAAATATGTCAGTACTCAGTATTTAAGCAGACATAATAATTTTGAAACCCAAAGTGCCTTGATATGAAGATTGTGGTGCATTTCTCCATTCTAACACAAATTGCGTTTGACCCTAATGTGCACTGTGAAGTTTACAGCAGTTTTAGTTGTACCCCAAAGTGCGGTGTACAAATGTAATATAGTTTCTGGTAGGATTTGAGCTAGAAACAGCGAGGGCAGCTGTTCCGTTGTAAACTACTATAACAAATCGGCATGAATCTGAAGGCGTGCGGTTTTAAATATTTAGTGTATAAAGGTTATGTCTATAACATTACAGTGTTATAAAATTATAAAGCAGGAAGCTTTGGGGATATTTTTACATGGAACATTAAGCGCAAACAAATTGGCGCAATCATTACTAACAATTATCTCTTATTGTAATTCTAGTAGTATTAACGGAATGTACAAAATGTCAATTCGGAAATTGCCATGAAAACTCTGTAGACATGAGAAAATATCCGCTTATGTTTCAAATATGACGCTAATCAAATAACAAACTTTGCCTAGCGCTGAAAGATAAAAATAACAATTGTTATATATACAAGCGTAATGATTATGCTATTTGTATGTCATAAAAACAATTCCGTGAACGGAATCAACTTCTTAGTCGCTATCATTGTTTCGTGCTGACTAACTTGGTTTCTTGACACAGTTTATAATACATAATGAGTTTAATCATCGGTTGTTTATTTCAACATTTCAATGTATTCTAGGTTCCTGGTAATGTTTTTTAAGCAAAATGTCTAAACCAATGAAAGTGCGAACATGATATGCGTAGTAATGCACGAGGAAAAATGATTATATGAAGGGGGTTACAGTAGGGGAAAGTAAATTTTACTATCTTCAAGTATCAAATAAAATGTTTGGCATATGGTATATTACAGTAAACTATCTCCAAGCATTAAATAAAATTATGTATATTTCTTATATAGTGTGAAACACTGTGGACATTGAATTTTGATGTACTCAAGTATTTATTTCACATTATACGATTTTCTTAAAAAAATCTCATATACAATTTATTCACGATCATCTACACAACACTAAAAATGATTAATACTATTGTTACAGCAAATACAAGTATTACAAAAATATAAAATCGAACAGTAACATGCGCGTGAAACATATGGACAACTTAATACTAATTTTGTTTAAAAAAATATACTTTTATTTTCGTGTGCAACATTTCACACTGTAATGTAGTATAACACATGAGAACTGATATTTTGGCTTTTGACTTGTACATGTTTTTTTCTCTTTTCAAAGAAACACATTTAATAGAAAAAGTGATCAAAAGTCAACAGAGGTAAGTTTTTTTTGTGTTCTTGTTGTATTGAATGCCTTTACGAACAGCAATTGTACATATAGATCTGATTACAAGTTATTTTGTTAGTCTTATTTTTCACCAGTCATAATAAAAACATTTACATACTTACCAAAACATATAAGAACATCAATGAAGCAACACAACAATACTAGGTACAATCCTTTTTTCATTGTTAAATTATTGTCCATGTTTATTTCACTATGTTCATCGTTTGTTTGGAAATACGCTAGTGTCCGACAATGCGCTCAGTTATTGAGTGTCGCAATTATATACAATATTCCTTACTGTATATGAAGAGGTTTAAACTTATGACACATAAGTAAAGTTCATTTTGTAAAACCTTCCTACTTCTGCTTATAAATGAGCGTATCATAACACAGAAACAGCTTTTATATATTGTTTATAAGTGAGTTTGTTCTTTTCTCTAAATATCATGACTGTTTGGCATTTTGTTTAACAAGATTTTAGAACATTTGCACTGAATTTGGTTAAAAGCTGTGTAATTACAGTAAGGCCAAATTTATTTTATAAAAAGTTTTATGTTTTAATGCAGCTCGTTTAACGAGTAATTAGCATAAGTATAACAACAAGTTATGATGTAAATGTGTCAGGGTGTATACTTGCAGGTCTGTAAATGTCTCAATTAAGATAGGATTAAAGTTGTCGTCATTAATTTTGATATTCTAACATGCCTCGTGATTATACCACTATACACAAACATGACAAAGAAAAAATGACCCCTGCCCCCAAAGTCTCCCCCCAACCCCCAACAAAACAACAGCAATAAGTACCTTTGAAAACAGATACTTGGCGGAAGAAAAACTGGTTAACGTGCAAATGCTAGTTCTTAGTTTTCCATGCGCAGTCATATAGAAATGTTAGCATAGCTTTCATAACAATGACATAATTTCTTGTTGAAAAATGGAACACTTTAAAGATCCTGTAACACATTTTTTATGGCTTTATATCATAAATATGATGCTCAAATTAAGATTTATCAATAATGTAAGTTCCATAAAGCATTATTTATAAAGATATTACCGAATTTAACATTTCATGTAAATAGGGAGGTAATTAGAAATTTATTTTCTATAGAGTCTATGTCAAATTTTTCAATAAGAAATGAATGCTAGTATATTTTAATGATTATATATTATGTGCACAAATATTTGCAGTACATATTTTACATATTCTCCGATGTTTGAAAATTGTTTTAGAAGCATAATAATTATATACATATATAAAATTTCACTTAAGTGTGGTTACAACCTCAATTACAACATACAGGATCTTTAAGATGTATGTGTTTCTAAAGAATCATGTCGTGTTTCGGTAAATGAAATCAATTTATAACATATACATCTATTTTTATAAATACTTGATTAATATGCAAAAATATTTAAAAATTATAAACATTTTATCAATTAAACACATCAATAATCATATAATATTTTAGACACTTATTGAACATCATAAACTAAGGGTATCTAATAAGTTCGTTATTTTGGACAAAATTTAAAACTCAGATCTTTTGTCAAATAAACTCAGTAAGCTTATAAATAAAACTGTTCAATAGAAAATGTTAAGTGATCTAAATGCAAGAAGTATTGTTAAACAGAACTTAAATATCAGAGCAATTATCTAGAAAGTTAAAGAACTATCATGTACATTGTATTTTTATACAACTATATTTCACATTTTTTTATAATGGCAAAAACTATCCTTGAAACTTTTGTTTAGACCTACCTTAGAATGACGAGAACTAAACTTTACATTTTATTTTAGAATGGCCGATGAGATTCCCAGATTTCATTTCGTAATTTCAAAATGACCAATGAAAAATTTTCTTATACGTAAATTTTACAGGTAGTCAAACTGAAAACAGATCGGCCTTCGGCCGGAAAAAAGGTGTAACACAACTTTTTCATGGTTTTATTTCATAAATATGATGCTCAAATTAAAATTTGTCAATATTGTAAGTTCCAATAAGCATTATTTATAAAAGTTTTTTACAGCATTTAACATTTCATGTAAATAAAGGGAGGTAATTAGAAATTTATTTTCTATAAATTCTCAGAAGAAATGAATGCATATAATTTATTGATTAAATATATAATATGCAAAAATATTTGCAGTACACATTTTACGTATTCTTCGATGTTTGAAAATTGTTTTATTTTCATTATTATATACATATATAATTTTTTGCAAGTGTTGTAAACACACAGTAACAATATCAATCACAAAACATACAGTATCTTTAACTGTTAAGGACTACATCAAATTCTGAGCTCCACAGTAAAGATCTACTGTACAGTATTCGGCTGTTTTTTTTTCCGAACAAAGCGTTTTAAGGCAACAATAATGACACATAACGATATTTTCCACTCCTATCATGTTTTCTTTTCTTGTGATGCCTAAATAATATCAAACATACAATAACGATAACATTTATAACCGTAGTGACGTAATCCTCATTAATACACTTGTTACTATATATAGTAACAAAATTGCCTATGATTTCAACTGATTATGAGTGTCACGTGACCTATTATGAGTTTGCGGCCCGGGGCCGAGAACTTGTTTTCAGCCCGCAGAACATGTGCACGTTCACAAACTCAAACAATGACGTCACATTTAACGTCATCAAACAGTTAACTGTAAAAGTGAAAGTAGGTTGTCAGCACGAATCGCTTTATTTTTATTATGAGACCTTAAGCGTATTTAGTACAAACACATTTTTGTTACTATTGAAATTTGAAGAAATAATACGACAAATTCATTCCGAAAAAAAATGAAAATAAAATTTGCTTCTTGGTTCTACTGCTTTGAACACACAAACAGGAAACATCTCTGTACAGAACAGTAGAAGAGTAGACAAGAATTTCAACGAAAGAACTTCAAAGTCTATTTGTTTTGATTATGTTTTTGTTATTTTTTTGTTGTTTTTTTCCAATGCTACTATTAGATCTACCAAGTGTATTAAAGACATTAATACACGTCAGCGTAGGGCCGGAAGGTGATAATCGGCCCTGAATGAATAATGGCCCTCGGGCTAAAGCCCTCGGGTCCATTATTCATTTTGCGGGCCGATTATCACCTTCCGGCCCTCTCCTGCCGTGTATTAACCTCTTAGTATCCAACTCATTCATGAAGGTGCTAGAATGACGTTATTGAAAACTGACATGGATGGGGTTTGAAGCGCCAATACAATCCTATGGTGACTGATCTAGCTACGCCATGTCGTATTCTAGCTTCTTCACCTCAAAATGCGAAAATGCGAAAACATGAAGGGACGGCAAAGTTGGACTTTGTATAACTTTGTCGTCCTTTCACATTTTTGCATTGTTATATTTTCGCATTGTTGCATTTTCGCATTGTTACATTTTCGCATTTTTTTGTGTTTTGATGCGGACAAAAATAAACCGGCGTTAAATAGTCGATAAACTTAACTGAGACCGTTATTGTTTCTTAAATATAAACAGATAAATATCTAGTTAGCACCGGCAACATTTATGAAAAATATTATGATCAACATGTTATATGCATTTGTCGTCACGTGTGATCGTTGCTTGGTCGCCATAACAGACAGAAACGAATGTCTATAACTATAAACTACATGTGATTTCATTAATTACATTAATTCTTGCTCTAATTATACCACGGAACGCGGTGTAGGAAACCAGTAATTAAGTACGCTCGTTTTATTTCTATAATTGACACTATAAAATAATCGCCCTATCCATTCACAAGTAGACAAAGGTTCATATATGTGCATTATTTTAACCGACTTTCGTATGGAAGGGGATATCCGCCATTATGGAAGGGTGTTTGAGTAAAACTTCCATTCATGTAAATGACTTATTCTTGTATGTACATTACATGGATACCATGACACATTTATATTCTTTGTCCCAGTTTCTAATTTCTATGTTTCATTTTCTTATGTGTTTGTATGGAAAAGATAATCAATAGTGTAAAACATATCATTTTGTCACACAAATTCTGAACAACGCAAAATGCATTATACAGATTTTGTAAGTTTAATTGTTAATGCTGAAGTTTTATTTTTACGCCGTATTTCCTTCTCTATGTCTTAATTTGCTAATTACTAATATATTTTACAAATTTAATATTTAGTCTTGTTATTGGAATTTTCTATATAAGATCATTTAGAAGTTATATAATTTCCCTTAGAAGTTATAATAGGAAACTTGCCTCGTAAACAATTAAAAGTTTGAATTTCGAAGGGTACCAATAATACTGGTACAGCTAAATAGAAATTACAACATAGAAGGAACAAGAAATACCGGTTCCCTTTCACGGCACAATAGTTTTTCCAGGTGTTTCCCAGGGCTATAAATAGCAACTCGACTCTTATCTGTCAATGTCGTAGCAAATATGTTAAAATGATTTCCTGCTAATTTAAAAATATTTCATTAAGTCTTTTCAAAATTGTTTGAAAAAACGACAACAAAAAACAAAATAAAAAAACAAAAAAACGTTTGTATCGAGAATTTGACAATAGATGGTCTTTGGAGGCCGGTGACCGTCGAAGACCGGAAATAGTCATCGATTAGTAGGTCATCGTCTGTATCATTCTTAAATGGCGTGTAATAACGATCTGGTTTTTTTGCTTTAATTTAAATAAAACATTTTTTTAAGAAAATGATTAAATACCATTGTATGAATAATTCCGTGCAAAAAGTAAAGGAAAGAGACACGATTTTACTCAGAAAATATCCCGGACAGATGCCTCTACGAATGTTTTAATTTTATAGATTTTCATTATAAACAATTTATTTTTAATGTAAAATTTGAGAAAGATATTAAAGGAACATTGATAATGCAAGAAAATAATGATCTGTACGAAATGAACTGCGTCGTATCCACAAAACTGCCCGCTTCGAGTTGCAAGTTCGCTATAACCTTTGTTTTACAAAATAGTTGTACAAGCAACATGTGTTGTGCTAGGCTACCCTTGTTGCAAATTCGCGACGATGCGTACTGTAAGGGGAGCCTCGTAATATATTTATATCACATTGTCGTACAGTCCCATATCACGCTTAATTCTAAATTTAAATTTTTAAATTGCAGTTTCCTCTCTTAATTTCGAAAACTTAACTTTGAAGTTTTAAAAACATTATTCTTTTTGTTTACAGAAACATTGAATTATTAACACTGAATTTTATAAACAAGAGCAACGCTAGGCGGAGCATTATTTGCCCGAAAGTGTTTTTTTAGTAAGGATGAAGCATGTGTAAGACATGGGAATGAAATAAAGTATTACTTTATTACTGTAATAGTGACCTTGACCTTTGGCATTGTGACCCCAAAATCAATAGGCGTCTTCTACCTAATATTGGCAATCATCCTATGAAGTTTGAACACTGTGGGCCAAATGGAACTTAAGTTATGCTCCAGAAACCACAATTTTCAGTGTAAAGATCATTGTGACCCTGACCTTTGACCTTATGACCCTAAAATCAATAGGGGTCATGTATTGGACTTGGCTGTTCATCCTATAAAATTTTACAGCTGTAGGTTGATTAATACTTAAGTTATTGAGCGGAAACTGTTTTCAGTTTTAAGGTAATAGTGACCTTGACCTTTGACCTTGTGACCCCAAAATCAATAGGGGTCTTCTACCTAATATGGACAATCATCCTATGAAGTTTGAATATTGTGGGCCAAATGGAACTTAAGTTATGCTCCGGAAACTGTTTTCAGTTTTAAGGTAATAGTGACCTTGACCTTTGACATTGTGACCCCAAAATCAATAGGGATCTTTTACCCAATATGGACACTCATCCTATGAATTTTTAATATTGTGGGCCAAATGGAACTTAAGTTATGCTCCGGAAACTTAATTGCTAACGGACTGACGGACAGACATACGACGGACGCCAGGGGGTATAACATAATATGCCCGAAATGTTTTTCGGGCATATAAAAAGGGAGCAAACTTTATATTTTTTATTTTAATTATCTATCTATTTATTTTATTTTTTTGATCGCCAATGTTATCACTTAAACTGCTTTGCATACTCAATAACACATAACTGTGTACGCAGTATCTTGATTTTTTTAGAGTGTACGCAGTATCATAATGTCTATTTCCTGTAAATAGTTCCTTTTAAGACATTTTTCGTAAAGGAAATAGAACAAATATTGAAAATTTCTTTATGAAATAGATTCTACAATAAACTAACTTCCAGTTGTCTGAAACTTCCAGTTTAATTGACAATTTCTCAATTTCTGTAACATTTCAACGCATGCAGAATCAAAATCGCATTCAACGATAAATACTCACGAGAAAGGAATGACTTGTGTCAGTGCATTTGGAATAATAAAACTAGAAGTAAGGACATCTTCTTTGTAAAAGAAATTAAATTCAAATCTATTCTGATTGTTTAACATAGCTCGTTTTTGTTCAAGATACCGGTTGAAAAAGTGTTCACAGTATCAGTAATTTGAGGAGTTCACACATTATTGTATTTGTTATGGCGGATATCGCCTTCCATATTTATGTTTATATTTAAAACCATGTAGTATAAGTACTTTCAATCCGTATTAAGTTCAAGATTATTATAAATTATAGCTTAGATGTTCCGATTGTCACGTTTTAGTGATATCGACACTCGTTATAGAACCCTACCGAAACAAAGCTGGAAAAGGAAAAGGTAAACATAATTTCTAAAAATATCCGTTTTAAACAGTTTGATTGTTTTTCAAAAATCGGAGACTGCTATGCCACGTAGAACATATTGCTCATCACTTTGGGTGCATAAGTCGCACACGCGCACACATTATTATAATTATAAAGGAAATACATGCTCTTCAATTCAGGAAGATATGATAAATTTATCTGTCTATCTAGGTTATATTCTTGTAAAAGAAAAAGAAGAAGAAATGGGAGATGAAGTAGAAGGAAAGAAAAGGGCGTCCGTGGCCGAGTGGTTAAGGTCCCTGACTTCAAACCTCTTGTACCTCGCCGCTTTGAGTCCGAATCTCGCCAGGGACTTTATATTATTTTAAGTGAGGAAGCTATCCGGCTAGCTTCGGTGATTCTCCTATGGGACAGGGGGACAGTCACCATATAATCTTTAATAAGTGCTACCAACCAAAGAAAAGAAGACGGGGAAAAGAAGGATAGGTAGAGCAACAAGAACAAAAGGGAGGTAAATATGAAGAACAGCAAGAACTTGAAGGGAGACGCGGGAAACAAGAAGGGGATAAAGGAAAGAAAAAATGAAGATATTACATATATCCATAATATTATTATCTGATAAGTATAATAAAATCAGTTGTCATTTAGTAAATGATTACACAACCCTCTACTCGCACATTGGTCATAATCATTCAATTTGTAAAAACGTGAAAGAATATTTCATAGTGTCAAACATTATTGTGTGTCGTGGTAATCCTTTTTGTTGTTATAAAATTACGATTGGTATGAAGATAACGTCTCGAACTGTAACACTCCTCCTATCAAATCATTGGAATGGTGCGAACTACTTACCCTTCAATCAAACGTAAAATTTGTCCGTAATAAAGCAAACGCACTGTATTGCAAGCTGTACCGTCGTAAATGTGTAGACAATTTCAAGATGACTGCAAAACTTTTGCATCTGTAACATATTTTTTCTTCTTGAATATATCTGGCCATAAAACATATAGCAAAATATGCATGAAGAACGTGTTGGGCCTCGAAATCCATATAGACATATTCCATTGTCATTATGTTTGAGACATCTGCAATAAACATTGCCAAATGGTGAAATAAAAAATTGAATTGAGAATCTCGTATTGTTTTGAGTTAAAATTTGTTAAATTGTCTCATGTTTTCGGTGCATTTTGTTGTCGCTAGACATTTTAACACATTCTTTATGTTGCTTGAAGTTGCCTTTGTGAAATATGTCTATGAATACTCGAAAACATGTATTTTTCGTATCTTCAATGTGAAAATATACAAACTTTAAAATATTGTCCGAGTGAAGAACAACACTTTCATAATTTCCTTTTAAAGAAAAGTAATGACAGGTAAAGGTATAAATCTGAAATAGATAGGAAATTATATGTAAATCAAATTTGGGTCTAAACCGTACAGAAATAAGGTTCGTTTCTGTGTCTAAACCGTTCCAAAATACCGTTTCCAAACCGCTGTGTAAGAAACTGTTCATGTGGTCAACATCACTACATTGAAGATTTAGAAAATACATGTTTTTTGAGCATTTATAGACATACTAGTATTTAACAAAGACAACTTCAAGCAACGTACGTAAAGATGTGTTAAAAAGATCAACAAATTACAACAGAAACATAAGTATCACTAAAAACAATAAGAGATCCTCGTTTCACCAATTGCCAATGTTTAGAGCAAGATACTCAAAACATAATGACAATCGAATATTTCTATATGATATGATACCGAGGATCAACATGTTCTTCATGCACATGTTGCTATGTATATGTTAGTGTTCATCCGTGCTGTTCTACAGAAATTAGAAACTTCGACGGGAGCGATAGCGACAGGAGAATGTTTCTAATTTCTGTAGAACAGCTAAGGATGAACACTAACATATTTAGTGTCAAGCTTTATTTGGCCCTTGATTACGTCTCTACGCGGTACTATGAAGCACTATGAAAAATAGAAGGCGACTATGAACGGATTTCAATATAGTATCGACTTTTTTTTTCTATGAAAATTAACACACATAATTTTTAAGAAATACAGCGTTTTCATTGGATGACAAATAAAGCTGGACACTAAATGTATTAAAAGCAGGCATTTTCAAGGAAAATATTACAGATGACAAAGTAAGACACCTACCTTTACTACTTGACAGTCCGCCATCATAGAAGTGTCTATCGTACAGCTTACAACACAGTGAAACATAGATAACAATAGTACTTGTAAAGGGTACAACACTTTGTACCGCACATTAACCGACCTTACACAGATCAAAGTTTAAGATGATTGACAATAAACATAGTGACACATTAACTTTTACATGTGCAAATAATTGATAAACAATCATATACTCGCATATAGCTGTGTATAAGTTTATTTAAATCTCGTTGAAATGAAAAACTGAATAAAAATGGGTCATACAAAAGGTCGTTTGTGGAGATGGCTGACTATATATTCGGATAACATATGCTCAATTCTCATGAAATCTGCACCATATAGACGATACTGCTTGAAAATGACAAGGGTGGCATTTTGGGCAGTTTTAGTTATACTCGTGGCGTTATTTATAAGTTATTATTTGGATACACCAGTACCCGAGGAAATTCCAGAGAAGTTGACTGTCAAATTGATTGATGCTTCTATGAGGACGTACAAACATGTGGTACGATTTTATTTTTATGTGTATAAGTTTGTTATGCTTGGTGGTTAAAGGCACATACTGCCTTAGAAATCCATATTTATTTATTTCTTTTGAAATGTCAGATTCGTGTTAAATAATGTTTAATAATTGACGAAGATATCGTTTTACAAAGATGACATGTGTCTTTTTATTTATCTCTTGCGCACGAGATTCTATGTCGTGGCCACAAGATTCAAAGTCGTGCGCACGAGATAATTAAGTGTTGGGACGAGATACTATGTCGTGGCCACGAGTTCCTAAGTCGTGCGCACGAGATAATTAAGTCGTGGGCACGAGTTACTATGTGGTGCGAACGAGATAATTAAGTCGTGCGCACGAGATAATTGATGACATGTACAACGACTAAAATACTAAGTATATGTAAGTGTCCAGCTTTATTTGTCATCCAAGGAAAACGCTGTATTTCTTAAAAATTATATGTATATTAATTTTCATACAAGTCAATACAAAAGTCAATACTATATAATGTTAGTGTCCAACTTTGTCATCTTATGAAAACGATGTATTTCATAAAAATTTGTGGGTTAATTTTCATAGAAGAACAGAAGTCGATAATATATCAAATTCCGTTCATATTCGACTTCTATTTTTCATAGTACTTCATAAAACCGTATATTGACGAAATAAAGTGAATAATAATGAGGCTAAATAAAGCTTGACACTAAGTGTGTGTCGCTATCGCTCCCGTCGAAGTTTCTAATTTCTGTAGAACAGCTACGGATGCATACTAACATATACATAAATAACACAATAATAAATAATAAATAAACAATAATAAAATAAATAACACATGGGTTTGTGGGTAACAGTAAAAATGTCATCCCGAGGAAAATACAATTTTTCTACGAGGGATGATATTTTTTAGATGTGTGAAGTTGGCGGCCCAGTCGCCTGGCGGCCTGATCTAATATTTTTACTGTTACTCACAAACCCATGTGTTATTTATTTTAATATCCTGAACAAATACTGTAGTAATGATCTGAAATCTAACTGTAACAAAATTGAACTAAGGGTAACAATTATAACTAAACTGTCATTACCTTTCAAGTTGTAAGTATACTGTTTTATTCTTTAGGCAAGCGAAGCAAGTGATGATATCTACCAGTCATAAGCATACAATAAGCTGTGTTTTATTTAGAAAGCAAAACATTTGCCATGCCAATAATGAACAAATTATCATAAAATAATCACCTCTTGATCTCCAAGAACAAATTTAAATTACTATCCAGACAAACAATTGAGACTTGATGGTATACGGTATTTTTTCATATATGTAAAATTGTTTGAAAACCAGTTTTATCGTTGTAACAGATGTCCAATATGTGTTGAAATATAGAGGCGTATCACGTTGACCATTTTATTTTACTATTAATGGCATGGCAAATGTGCCGAATGCCTGTGCCCACATATACGGTTATGATCTGTGAAATCTGATTCTTCTGTATCCAGAATACTCTTCGCATAGTTATTGACAAAGTGCATTTACAAAATAACGATGATATTCTATGTCTGTCCACCATATCGTCATTGTTTGACTGATTAAATTTGTTAAATAATCCTTTGCTACATGCGTCTGCATGTTCCAGTTGTACACATAATTAATTATTCACATTGCATTTACTTCCGATGAAAAATATGTTTTTAACTTTTTACTATTCAACAAAAAGATACTTTATACGCGAAAAGCACTCAAGAGTGCAAACAACTAAATTTAATGGGTATCATAGTCACTCTGGTGATGCCTAATCGTGGTGATCTTTGAAAATAAGAAAAATAGCGGCAATTTTATTTAATTTAGAAAATAGACCACGTGACCAGATTTTATACTGTTAAAAAGTATTATCACACCTCATTTTTTTTCGTAATGTTAATTTCCCATAGGCCTCTGGGAGTTATTCTTACTGTTTATGCAAGTGTACCACGTGACTAAGAATTTTGTACTGTTACAAAGGCAACAATATTTTTCTGGTCACGTGGTTTATTTTCTCATAAAATTTAGTTCTTTGCACCCTAGAGTTCTTTTCGCGTATAAAATATCTTTTTGTTGAATATTCAAAAAGTAAACATCCGTTTTCAACGGAAGTAATTGTAATGTGAATAATAAAGCATGCAACAAAGGATTATTTAACAATTTTAACCAGTGAAACGTTACAGATGAAGTTGGTGGACAGACATATGTAGGATATCATCGTTATTTTCTAAATGCACTTTGTCAAAAACCATGCGAAGAATATTCTTGATAAAGAAAGGATCAAATTTCACAGATCATAACCTTATAAATTGATTAGTGTTTTGTTTTCTAAATAAAACCTAGCTTATTGTATGTTTATGACTGGTAGATATCATCACTTGCTTAAAGAATAAAAGAAAAACAGCTTCTCAAGTAGGCCTACAGTACACTTAAAACTTGCAAGGTAAGGACAGTTTAGTTATTGCTTCTCTTTGTTTATTTTTGTTACAGTTAGATTTAGTTGACAAATTCAGATCATCCCATTATTTGTTCGGGGTAATAAATAAATAACACATGGGTTTGTGGGTAATAGTAAAACTATCATCCCTCGTAAAAAAACTGTTACCCGATGCGTAGCCGAGTATTTTCCTCGAGATGATATTTTTACTGTTACCCACAAACCCATGTGTTATTTATATACTGTTACCTACGTAACAGTACAAATTTCTTAGTCACGTAGTACACTTGCATTAACAGTAAGAATAACTCCCAGAGGCCTTTACAAAACAAGTGAGGGGTAATAATAACATTATCATCCCTCGTAAAACACTGTTAATCGTAACAGTATTTTTCTCTGGTAGATATTTAACTGTTACAGCTCGAATTTGCTATTCCTTTCATTATCTGTTTACATCAATATTTGATCTAGTAAGTCTAGTGTCGCCACGTTCCTGTTTATCTGTACTACAATACAAAGCCTACTTGGCAAACCACTGAATTTAGTATGTCCGATATTCTTGCGTTTTCAGAAACGTGGCTTAATCCCAGTGTTTCTAGTTCTGATATATTTTACCATGTTTACCAGAAAGAAATGACAGGATTGATCTGTTTACATTAAGAATTCACTACTTTACAAACGGCGATGGGAACTCGAACCTAGAAATATAGAATGTGTATGGGTGGAGATTTTATTATCTTAATGTAAACGTATGCTGTGTTGCACTTTTTATTGACGTCCTAATGCAGATGCACATTATACAACTCTTATCGAACACTCTCCTAAGAGTGAAGAAACAAATATAACAGATATAATTGTAACTGGAGACTTTTACTTTAATCCATCTAATCTGACGTTATCACGCAAATTTCTTTCCATTTGTCAGCAATTTCGCCTTGAACAACTTATAAACGAGCCTTCACATTTCACGAGTCGTCAGCATCTGTTTTAGATCTGTTTCTTGTTTCTTGCAATCACCGAGTAATAACATCAGGTGTTGGGGAATAAGTTTTAGACCAAAATATTCGCTACCAATGCCCTATTGTTGCTCTTTTTCCTTTTCTAGACCTAAATCAGGATCTTTCAAGCGTTCTATATGGTTATATGATCGCGGCAACTAGCACACTCTTAAACAAAGTATAATGCAAACTGACTGGGAACACAGACATAGATGAACACGCAACTTTAGTAAGCAGCAAAATTCTCGAACTTTCAAAGCAGTACATACATGTACCTACAAGAACAATACTAGTAAAACCGACTGATGCAGTATGGATAACGACACAAATCAAACAGCTTATTCGTAAACGCAAAAAACTTTATGACAGAGCCAAACAAACCCAATATCCTTTGCACTGGCACTCATTCAAAAATTACGTAATAAAGTCATCTCACTTATTCACACGGCCAAACGTAACCACATCCAGAAACTTGCAGACTCTCTTACATCAGAAAACATACATCGCAGAGAGACTGGTGGAGACTCATTAAATAATTCATATCACCGACTGAAAAGCAAACAATTCCGGCACTTTCTCACCCAGTTACTCAAAGACTGTCATATGATAACAAACCAAAATCCGACTTATTGAACAACTACTTCAGCAACCAGTCCTCTCTTAAAAGCTTTGATAAGTTCCTGACGATTACTTCGAACAGTCGGTGAACACTCTCACTTCAGTATTACAAATCAAGATGTTGAAGATGCTATCAAAATCTAAATACCAATAAAGCCTCTGGGCCTGATGAAATAAGCAATCGCATCTTGTACGAAACCTCGTCCGTAATCAAATACCCACTCTGCTCTCTTTTTAATCATTCACTCCGCACTTGTAAGATTCCTCAAATTTGGAAAGATGCCAACATTTGCCCAATTTTTAAGAAAGGAGATCCATCGTTACCTAGCATATCACCCTTGTGTTGTATGGAAAAAGTTTTTGAACGGATTATTTTTAAGTATATTTATAACATGTCAATGACTTTATATCTCCCCTTCAATCTGGTTTCAAACCTGGCGACTCAACTGTGAATCAATTAACCTTTCTTTACAATTCCTTCTTTAAGGCCCTTGATGAAGGTCTTGAGATACGGATTGTCTTTTTCGACATCAGCAAGGCCTTTGATAAAGTGTGGCACAAGGGTCTCCTGCTTAAACTAAGATGTGCCGGTATTAAGGGACCCCTCCTCGACTGGTTTTCAGACTATCTTTCAAATAGACGCCAATCTGTTGTCCTTCCTGGAGTCAAATGATTGGTCTGTAATAAACGCAGGAGTTCCTCAAGGCTTGATTCTGGGTCCGCTTCTTTTTTTAGTTTATATCAATGATTTTGTTGTTGACTTAAGGTCCTCTGTAAATCTTTTTGCCGACGAGACCAGTTTGTATTTGGTCGTTGATCATCCAGTTACTGCGACTGACATTCTTCAATCTGACATAAACAAGATTTTTTCATGGGCTGACAAATGGCTAGTCAAGTTTAATCCTTCCAAATCTGAAACCATGATAATCACACGTTA